TGTGTGTTGAGAGACTTAACGCAACACCTTACCGCATGAGTTGACGATAGCCATACACTATTTGTGTCGGTATTCTCGAAGGCACACCTTTCTTTCAAGAGGATTCGTGGCATAAACTAACTTTTCAATACCATACATAAAAAATTATTCTCAACTTAAATTATTTGTAGCTATTGATTGTGAAAACAATGGAACAAAATAAATAACAACATAATAAAATTTTACACGCTTTACTTTGTAATAGGCAAAAAAATAATATGACGTACACCCAAAAATTACTTTTTGATAATATAGTCTAGCAATACCTCTCAAAAATAAATATGTTTAGCTAGAAGTAAAAGTCATTGAAAAAAATATCTTCCTTATTTTTAAACATATTAAACCAATGGACTTTTGATTTAATGGTATTTTTCACCTTAAAAAGATTTTGTCTTTCTAAGATCAAAAGTTTAAGTCTCTCTCCCTCTCTCCCAAAAAAAAAAAAATTTAATAAGTCTTTGGTCAAATGTTGTTTTTTACCTTGTAAATGTTTTGTCTTCCTAAAGGTTAATGGTTTAAATTTCCCTCCCTATTCCCAAAAAAATCCTCCCCCCCAAATTTTTTTTTTTTTTCATTAATCCCTCATACCAACAGACCTTTGATCCAATGATATTCTTTACCTTGTAAAATTTTTATCTTCTTGAAGTCAAGAGTTCAAGCCTCATTTCCTCCTCCCCTGCCCAAAAAAAAAAATTATTAACAGCTGCCAACCTAAATTTTAAAGTTGTTAAATCAATCAAAAAACACAACAAAGATTATGACGTCTCATAGCTAAGTTTTTTACTAGTATTGGCCAAAAACAACATGAAGGAAACAAAAATTTGGTACTTTCCATCTAACAAGAAGACAATCTCACCGCAAGAGATCGGACAAAACATTTTCAAACATACTTGAAAGCAAAATGTTGGAAGTATATTAGGCTCTAGGTTCAACTCATCGACCATTGAAATGTACACCCAGAAGAGCATTCATGTTTGATTTATCTTATTATTGGCAGTCAACAGTGTATAAAACAAGGGGAATTATAATTGTACATCTATGCTCAATTTGGGAGGACAGATGGACAGAAAAATAAGAATTATACACTTTCATTCTTTTGTATTTGGTTGGATGGATGAAAAACAAAAATAACTAATTTTTTTTTTTGTGCTGACTAAGATAAGGAGTGACAATCGAGTTGTGTCGTGTCGTGTCAGATTCGTGTTGAGTCATTACGAGTTTGTGTCAAAAATTAGTCAAATCTAACTCAACTCATTTAATTAATTGTGTCGTGTTGAGTTACGAGTTGACCGATTTATTTTCGTGTCGTGTTTGTGTTTATGTTTGTATTCGTGTTGGTTTATTTTAAATTAAAAAATAAATCCAGATTTTTAGTTAAGATGGAATTTTTTTTTTAATTTAAAATATTTTTTTAAAAAAATTATATATATATATAAATACATATTTTATCATTATATTTTTATATGAAATTAATTTATACATAGTCTATATAATAAAACATGAGTGTGTTTAAATTTTATCTCAGTCATATTTTCCCCCTCAAAACCATCACCAATCATTTACATCACTCATCATCCATTTGTCAGACTTAAATGTCAAATCGCATCACTTATTTCTATTATATGTTTAATTATTTATATATTTCTTTCCTAAAAACATCATATCACTCATTTCTATCATATATTTAATTATTTAATATTTGATTAATTTATAGTTAATATATTTTGAAAAAAATTAATATAATGAGATCGATTTTTTAGACGCTCGAATTTTATATTTTATCATGCTTTTAAATACAGGTTATGACTAGTATATGTATATATCATAAGATAGATAAATAAGTAAGATACATCTAAATATAAATAATTAACTTTTCATTCACTTTCCTTCCGATTTTGGAGGGATTTATTTTGGTGAGTTGGAAGGAAGGTTAATTCATCTACTTTTTCATCCTTCCTATTTCCTTCTTTATCAAACATGATATTTTATTTATTCTTATAATTTTTTATCTTTCTATTTTTTCATCTTTCTATTTTTTCATTATACCAAACGGAGCATTAGTGTGTAGGAAAGAAGAAAAGGGTGCTAATTCAATGAGACCATATATCTGTCATTTAACAATACAGAGCAGAGATTGAAGTTTTAATTGGAGAATGGAAAAGCTATTATACTAACCATAGAAGGAGGAAAAGAGAGAGAAAGAAAGAAAGGGGTGTCCTTCTTGCTATCAGTAAGTGGCAGTGTTTTAAGTTCAATAGTTGGGTAATGGCTGGTGAGCAAAAAAAGAGAGACATGAAATGTCACGCAATAAAAAAATGTATGTTACAATAAATATTTATTCATGTCCGTGATATTTTACATATTTAAGAGTTGAGTGAAAGAAAAGCTTTTTTATTATGTGTATAATTAGAAGTAGTAAAGATATAAATTATTTCTTATTTCACCCCCTGATTATAACAGCTTATATTGTAAGGAAGCCATCCATTGCCCAAAATTTAATTTATTTATAGGTAAAATTGTTGAGCTATTCGAGCTCAATTTTGGTTCGATTTATTTTGGACTCGGCCCGAGCTTGTTGTAACACTTTTTAAGAATCATTTTAAAAAACGAAAAATTGTGACTAAGTACCTTGTGAAAGACTTTTTTTTGTGAGAAAATATCTTTAAAAAATATGTTGTAGATAAATACCATTAGGTTGAAATGTATAGAGAGATACAAAATGACATTTTTTTTATTCTTCTCTTTACTATAATACATTTTCTCTATTTTTATGGTGTTTGTATTTTGACACTTGCTTTTTATATGTGATTTGGTTTTATTGATAAATAGTTTCTTAGTCCAAAAGATTTTCTTTTGTTTTTGAATTTTGAATTTTGAACGTCTAAATCATGTATAAATGACACAAGATCTAAACAAAACTAACGTCTATTTTGAAACAGTATGCATCATCATCTATAATGTGACATTACAATGATATATGCAGTGTAACATTTTCATCAATACTTTAATCACTGACAAAAAATTGTGAAATTATATTCACTAATTCATATACAATCTAAATAATATGCACCACATAATGTGACATCCTTATACATTATAGTGTTACATCACAATAGAACAATGCAAAGTGACACTAATTTCAACTAATTAATGAAGGGATTTTAGACTAGAATTTATTGTTAATAGAGGAAAAGAGGATTTTAGATAGGGTCAATTATATACGAAGGTAAGAAAGATAAATTATAGCTATGTGAAAGAGATTTTAAGAAAAAGAAAGTATAATTATGTGGGAGAAATTTTAGGAAAGTGAAAGAGATGTTATTTAAAATTAAAATTCATTCTCTTATTAAAATAGGAAACTCTTAATTCATTTTTGAAGAATTGTGATTTGTGTACTGTTGAAAACTGAAAGAATTTGAGAAAATTTTGTTCAAGTTTTGAGAAATTGAGTTTTGGGGTCTTGATTAGTGGTTGGATTTTGTGCAGATAGTGTATAGAATTCAACAGCTTTCAAAGACAGATAACGTATCTGTTCAGTTGTGTCTATAGGTGTTTTTGGGAAAAAAAATAAAAAAATGACTTTTACATAAAACATTTTAACCTAGTGAATAAGTCCCCTATATAAAATACGACTAATCTCAATTTGTATGTGAAAGATTACTTAAATTTTAATTTATACACTCAAAATTTAAAAATATTAATTTATACCCTGAAAGATATAAATTTGTATCGATATGCACTTAAGCTAACTCGATCTATTTCGCCATTAAAAACTTTTAGACTAATTATAAATTGTACCCCTAAAAGTTTAAATATTTTATATTTGTGACCTAAAAAGAATTACATTCATTAATGCTCGTTAAATAGTTCTTAATTGTATCGTATCATAACATCTTCCTATCGTGTTCAAATAAATAAAAAAATATTTTTTAAATTTAAAAAAATTATAAATATTTATTTTTTTACCTACAATACTCGTTAATTAGCTATTTTCTGTCTATAGTTACACACAACTATGGATTGTCCAATCAAATTAAAGTTAGAAACGAATAATACAATTGTAGACAAAAAATAATTATTTAATGAGTATTATAGACAAAAAATAGATATTTTTTATTAAGTCAGCTTTCTTAGCTCTAACTTATGAGCTTGCTGCTTATGGATCAATGCTAGAAAGAGGATTTCCGCTTAGCCCGCCCCTAGCTCTCAGTGCGAAGTCTTTGATTCTCTACTGCTTTCTCTAATGCTAGCTCTCGATTGATTGAGTCTAGTCAAAAAAACAAACGTTCCATCACCATCGATAATTCCAGCTAGCCACTCGGTCTTAGCACTTTCACTCTTAGAAGGAGGAATCCGCGGCTACTAGTACTAGTACTAGTAAAAGGGCTCTACCATCACCAAAAATGCATCAACATCTTTCAAACAAAGGCTTACTAATAATGGAAATGCCAGATATTCAATCTAATTTTTTAAATAATATTATGTAAATTATTGTAAATGTGAAATATATAATACAACGCAATTAACTTAACATGAAAATATTTTTTATGTTAAAAATATATTCTTATTGACTAGCACATGACACGAAAATTATATGACAGGATACAATTGAGAGCTATTTAACGAGCATCAATGGATACAAATCTTTTTAGAACATAAATATAAAATATTTAAATTTTAAGAGGTGTAATTTATAATTAACCTAATCCTTTTGAACAGCAAAATAGATAACAATTAGTTCCAAATGCATATTAATACGTATTTATATCTTTGAGAATATAAATTAATATTTTTAAATTTTGATGGTATAAATTAAAATTCGAGTGATCTTTCGTGGTACAAAAAATGAACCTAAAAAAATAGCCCAACAAAACTAGATTTTATTCGGTTTACTTGTTACATAATAAAATTAGACGTTTAATTGAAATTTGGCCTAAATTTAGGGGCCAAAAACGAAATATTTACTCTGAACCACAGAAGGGAAAAGAAACAAGCGGCAACAATGGCGGTCCTATCCATCTCACTGTCTCAACCTTCTCCAACTTCCATGGCTGCGTTACTGGGTCCATCATCATCATCATCATCATCATCAATCACATCGACATCTTCGTCGAGCAGAATTGGTCGCCAAAATATTTGCCGATCACAATCCATCCCTCTCATGCCGTATCTCACTTTCCGACGACAGTCAATTACGCGCAGCCTCCGTCGGAGACCACAGATCGTGCGCATGGCTCCCGAAGAAGAGAAGATGACTCGCCGTTCCCCTCTCGACTTCCCTATCGTAAGATATGCCTAATTCCAACTTTTCCTTCTCTATCTGCACTTTCGTCGAATTCGAATGCCTTTTGTGGATAAAAATTGTGTTTCAGTTGCTTATGTTTAGTTGCTGAGAAAAAGGTGGAAGAGAAAAGAAAGACAACTGAATTTTGAAGATTGTGTCCCTAGAATTCATTAGCTCAATCAAGTTGAAATTGTAGCCCTAGAATTGGTGTCCAAGGGTAATCTATCCATTAGGTACTTGATTATATCCAAATTTGATTATAAGCATGGTCGAAAATTCACTAAAGAGGAGGAATATGATAGTCCAGGCTACCTAACGCAACCCTCCTCCTTTATACGGCTTGGGACAGGCAGCGTGCAACACTGACGGAATTTAGTTTGGTTTGGTTAGGAGGAATATGATAGAAAGAGAACCAAGGCAGTTATAACTTTCAAGCTTGGATATTTGGATTCAAATGTTCTGGGGCCTGTGCTGCTGTGCTTCTCATATATTTGTGTATTAAGTTTCTGTTTGTGTTGAACTTTGATGAAACTTCTGTATTTGCCTAGACGCATTTATCCACTGCTTATGGGTTCATGATCGCAGTAGTTTCAAACCAGATGTGGGTGTCTTTATCTTCTTATTTGATAACAAGATGGATGCAGGCCCCTTCAAGTTTTAAATGAATCATGATTTGGAGCAAAGTTGTCTTGGTAGCCTATTGAACCCTAAAAAGACCTTCAGAAATAACAAGGCAGCTACATGTAGTCTGGTGTTCTAATGCAGACAGTTAGGACCACTTCTATCACATAGGCCAGGAATGTCTTGCTTAATCCAATGCTCGGTATGCTGCTTGTTTCATCTGGTGTTGGGTTGGTAATATTTTATTTAGGATATTATCAATATAATTTATGGATGATAAATGGTTATGCAACCCCCATTCTGGCATGGTTAGCATTCTGTTTAATGTTTTGGCCAGTCCTGTAAATAAAAATGTTCTAATAAAATTTTCGGTTATCTTTTTACAATTTTTTTGCTCATGTGTTAGTCAATGTTATATTCTCATTTGCTGTTATGTTCTCTGGTGTTGATTATATGATCTCATCTTTTTACTGGGTAAGAATGGTGTAAAGCCATAATCCACATAAACAGTCAACAAAAACTTCACCTATAGTTAGTATGATGTATCTAGATGACCTTTCAAGTAAGGTAACTATGCTATTTGCCTGTGCTGCCCTTCATTTCCTTGAATGCCACCTGTAAGATTGTTTTGAAGCTTTTGAATTGTTATTACTTCCAAAAGACATAGTGCTGACATCCCTCTATTCTATCATGGCTTACAATTTTGTAAGTGCACTGAGGCTTTGATGTTAGATCATTTCACGAACCTTGTGATTTTCTACAGCTTTTTCTTATGTTTTCCAATCTTAATAAACTTCATTCACCTGTACATGTTGTGAAGATGACTTGCCATCTGTCTAGAATGCAAGAGATTGCTAAAATTACCACATAGTTGCTTTTCTAATTATTTTCTAAATGCTATTCTCCCAGATATACTTGAGCAATCCACTGTATGATTTTGTAGAAGTATGCTCTAGTGCCAGTCTCTCTTTTTTGATTTGTGATTGAACAAATTAATTTTGAGGGAATGTAGTTATTTTTTTTTTTTGGGTCAAGAGGGAATGTAGTAGGGAGATGCTGTAATTGGACTACTTTATTGGTTTTAAATCTGTATCTTCTCACTCCTCCCTCCCTCCTCCCTCCCTCCTCTTGCCCAACTTCAGATTCTGAAGTAGAATGTCTCCATGCTGAATACATGAAGACTCTCTCTCTCTCTCTCTCACACACACACTTGCATGCACACACACCGAGAGAGAAGAACCATGAAAATATGTGGTCTTGACCATGCAATATCCATGACTAGGACTATTACTCTATTATGCAGTGACACCTGTAGTTTCTCTCTCACTTTTTGTACTGTAAACTCTTGTCCTAAAGTCGTTGCATCTCAGTTGATGATACAGTTGAATGAGCTCTCTCTCTCTCTCTCTCTCACACACAGACACACACACAGTGATCCCTATTCATGCATTTCCTTTCCATGGCAGGAGTGGGAAAGACCAAAACCTGGGCGCAGACCAGACATCTTCCCCCAATTTAGCCCAATGAAAACTCCATTACCTCCACCATTACCGGCTGATCCTCCTGAAGAAGATGAAGAGGAGGAAGAACAGAAAGAGGAGGAAGACGATCCTGAGAAGGAGAACCCAGATAAGCCGGAAAACCAGTGGTATTGATTCTCTAGTTTAGATAGGGAGAGCAGTCCACGGAACATTGTTGGACACTATGTGCTGTGATATGCTTGTTGTCAAGCTTAGCTAGCACTGTTTTGCCACATTGATCAAGTTGAACAAATCTGCAATATTTAGCTATCTGCAGCATCTTTATTGTAGGCGTTTGTTGATCAAATTTTAGTAAATTTTTGTCAAATTTCCATGATTTAGAATTTGAAAATTATTAACAGCAGATTGTTATGATGGAACGAAGCTTAGAGTCATTTTGAACCCATACCCCATTGGCCATTGCATACAGGCACAAGATTTATTGCCTGGAATTGAATTCATTGGCGATGAAGCAGCTGATATTGTTGTTATTTGAATGTGTCGGCGATGAAGCAGCTGATATTGCTGTTCTTTCTTATACATATTAAAACAATCTAATTCGATAATTACTGATCAAAAAAGGAATCAAGTGCTGTAACTGCGACTCACTATCAGGTCTGGCATGAGCTGTGATAACCCTTGAGATTGGCCATCAAAACCGTACAAAATCAAAGACTCCCCCAATGTTTCGCCAATAAGACCCATACTTCCATAAATGAATCTGATGAGGGGAAAGACCACATTGGCACAGCACAGATTTTACATGCAAAAGACAGGTTCAACATCCTTTTATTATTGGATAAAAAAAAAAACATCTTTTTATTGAGTTTTACATAGAAACAGTCGCATGGTGTATTTCATCATGCACCGTAGCAATCACATCAAAACGTAGCACAAGTTTTTTTCATTTTGGGTCTGTGACCCCCCTCATTTCTTCCCACTTTTCTTCAGTCCAGAACCTCCAAATGACCCCTTTTGCTGAGCCTTGGATCTAAGCTCCTTAAGTGCCTGCCCACCGTGCCAACCCCAAGTAAAACAAGAGATATCGAACATAATTCAAAAGCAGCACAAAATATAGTCAGCAGATGGATAAATCACCTTTTCCTCATCCTTTTTCTTCTGAAGGTTAGCCAAATCAGCCTGTATGTAAGAAATATATCAAAAGGTAAAAATGAAATGTACAAGAAGATCATAGAGAGAGCAAAAACACCACAAATCCACCAAAATCTCATACAAACAGGTACCAGCACTTGGAGGAGATATTATCTTTAGAACAGCAAGATCCAAGCCAGTTAACAGATGTATTACAATGAAGAAAGCACTTCAAGGCTTCAAGCACCTAATGTACTTCATGTCAAACTTAACTTTGGTTTCTAAAAATTTATAATGGCACGCATAAATTTCTTAGATTTTTTTGCAAGTGATACTATAGACGCCAAGACTAAAAAATCAACGAACACTGACCACATATGATACCAAAACCACTGAAACAACAGCCCAAAATTGAACAGTTCCTCATGAATCAAGTAAACCTAAGGTGTGAGATGTGAATTGATAACCAATTGATTGCTATCATAAGGTAAAATGACTGAGGCAACACACTAAAATTAAAGCACCAGTTCAAAAGAAAAAGGAAACTAAAATCAATGCGCACAATAGTCTAATAATAAATGTATGTCCATGGGGAAGGAACAAATGTTGACAGATACGCAGGGGAGTGAAATTCTCTCTAATTCAACAAACACTTGAAAGTACCCAACAGATAAAAGGGTAACTTTAACAAAAACCGTTTAGTTTTGAGAAAAGTTTCAGTAGCATAAGGAATTAAGTCATCCAGGATCTAATACCCCCAAAAATAAAATTACAGAAAGAAGCTCCCAACACCATCTGGTTTCAATTTCAGTTTTCCTAATACTTCCGACTCGAACACAAGCTCACATTCTAAATAACACGACGCAGTTTCTTTTATTCTATTTTCCTTTGCTTTCTCTCCAGCCAAGAACAGAATAAACAAATCAATAATGTAAGATCTCCAAAATCATAGATTAAAATCCACCCAGTTCAGCAAAGTTCTCAAAAAACGAATAATCAAACACTGAGTCCATGAACGACGAATAAACAACCAAAAAAAAAAAAAACGAAGAAAAACAAAATAGAATAATCAATACCTCGTCGTATTCCTTCTTTCCAGCCTTGGGCTGCTTCAAAGGCTTTGCTTTTCCACCTGTTGAAAACAAAATAGATTAAACTTGGAGAGTTGTTCAACAAGAAAGTCCTGATACTAAGAATAGGCAAGATAAGAATTGATAAGAGTGCAGATAAAAGAAGAAAAAGTACCTTGCTTGGAAGACATGATTGATCCCTAGGGTTAGGGCCTGGTCTGATCGCAAGAAGAGAACCCTAACCCGAAAACAAATTCAATGTTACGGAAATTCGGAGATCAGGATATATCATATAGTAGAGGTGGATCGTCCCTAACCGAAAAAACAGTAAATATGTTGGTAAATTTACTGTTTAGCCCTAACGATTCTTATCGAGAATATATGGCATTGTTGGATTTGTATTTTAAAAACTTTTTTCCAGAGAAAAGTTGTTTAGTCAACTATTTTTTATTTTTATTTTTTAAAAATTGAAAATAAAAAGTGAATAAATTTAAAGATTAAATTATGACTATTTTGTATATATTTAAAAATAATCTTTCTAAAATTTTGAAACTGTCATCATTATCACACTTTTACCCAGGGATGCAACTCGGGGCGGGTTGGACAGGTTATGAGGTCAACCCTAGTTTAATTTTAGGTATAAGATTTTTAATCTTAACCCTATTCATAACTTTACCTAAACCCGAGTATTACTCGAGTTTAATTCGAGCGAGCTTGAATTAAATTTGAGTTACTTAATTTGAAATATTTTTCGAGTTAAAAATTGGATTGACCTTGAATTGTTTAATTTGGGTTGATAAAAGAGGGATGAGAGAAGAGTGAGAAAGGGAGACTGAGAGTTTAAGATGACTTAAACGATCGATGAGATGAGTGAGAGAGGGAGGCTAAGAGTTTGAGACGAGACTTAGACAAGGGAGAGAGGGAGATTGAGCTCTGAAAGTGATAGAGGCGCAGGAGTGAAGACTTGAAATAAAGTGAAAGTCTAAACTCTGAAGAGTGAAAATAAATATTAATCCTAGTTAAATATATTTATATATTTATGTATATAGGGTTCAATTCGACAACCCGAGGTTTCAACCCGAGACTTGTTCGAATTCAATTCGGGTTGGAGTTTTTTTACTCAAGTTCAACCCAAGTATTAAAAATTCTAACGCAAGCCTTATTTTTTTCGAGTTAAACTTAGGTTTGAATTCAGGTTGATCCTACCCAAGTTGCACCCCTACTTCCACCACCATCACCATACTTCCACTACCGCGTTTTCATCACCACCACATTTCTATTTTTATGGGTTATTGTATAAACAAGTTTTACAGTTTTCTATTTCATAGAATTATTTTTGGAATCATATAACCAAATAAATTATGCAATACAAAAAATACCAAAATAATTTTCTAAAACAATTCTAAAAAATAATTTTGAAATATTATTTTTTGAGACACAAACCAAATAGGGCCTATATTTTTCATGTGAATTTTTTTGTTTCATATTATATGTTTTTGTAATATAACTAGAACTAAATAACATATTCCAAGTGGTAATTTTGACAATCCTCATTTTAAGTGGTATTAAAATAAAATATTTTTTTGGGTAGATATATTTTTAATAATCTATAAGGGTTTTCATAATTGTACAATTCTAATGCACCAGTCACATTAAATGACAAAACTTGAATATGATTATTATGGTCAAGGGTGTCGGATTTAATTTACGTTTAGTTTGATTAATTTCTTCATCAGTATGATCAAAAGTGAATTATCCATGTTAAAATTAAAAAATTCATAAAAAATAAATTTTTCGGGCTCTAAAAAAATTAACAAACTTCAAATCACAATGTCTAAATTTATAACATGAGTTCATTCCCTGCACACCATAAACAAGTGGAAGATCCGTTTACAACGCTATTCCAAAAGTCATTGGTTCCCCCAAAATAATAACTAGAGTAATTATTTGATATTATCCTTTCATCTAATGATTAAAATTTTGTTTTAGTACATTATTTTGATCACTTAGAAAATGAAAATGTTTCCACATATTTTGAAAATGTTTAGACCTGTTTCAAAAGTAGAATGAAAAAGAATAAAATATTTGAGAATTATTTTTTAAATCATTGGTCAAAATATACAAAAATATTTTGAAATACCTTGAAACATTCAGAAATAATTGTGCAAATATATTGAAATATAAAAAAATATTTTGAAACATTATAGAACATCTTGAAGTATTAGAATTTTGATTTCATCACTAATTCGTTTCGGTTTCCATGGAAACGGAAATGTTTCGAATGTTTTGACCATTTCGAAATAATATTTTGATCATTGTTTTCATCAAAAAAGAATAACTATAATAATTGTTTGCAAGTATTCCCAAATCATAACTTAATTTTACAATAATTATTAAAATTTCATTTATCTCAATTTTATCAGATAAATTATGTAATGAATGAGTGGTAAATCAATTCATTTTATTCTTGTTACATCAATACAAATAAAAGGATATAGAATTTGGTTCAATGGGTTTTTCAAGTTTTTCGTAATTGAAAACAAAATATTTAATGACTATCCCACGAAGACTATTTTCAACTTCAATTCTGTGACGATTTTCTCTCAAATCAGAGCCCCTAACGTCAAGAATCACATATTTGATTTCTTTTGTGCTTAAAATACTCAAATTTTGTTCATTATGAGTAGGACATGTTTAAAACAAATCAAAATTACCGATTTCGATGGAATTTGATGCATGATAAGAAATGAAAAAATTTTAGTTACACTTTTTTTAGTTTATCATATCTTAAAAGACACTCTTTCTATTATAAAAAATATCACTGATACCCTTTTAGTTTATATTTAAAAATTATTGACACCTCATACTGTTTAACGACCATTTCTAAATTTTTTTTTTATCTAAAATGTCAAATTACCCTTACATAATCCCCAAACAATCTTTTTATATAAAATTCGCTCTGATTAAAATTTATTTTTTTATATATTTAAATTCGAACTAATTAAAATTCGTTTTTCTACATATTAAATTTTGAATCGAATTGATTAAATTTTATTTTTTTACATATTAAAATTTGAGCCTATTAATTTTTTTTATATATTAAAATTTAAGTCAATTTGAGTTTAACTTGAACTATTAGTACCAATTAAAATTTGATTCGATTCGAGTTGATTAAAATTTATATTTTTTTACTTATTAAAATTCATGT